ACAAGCAACAAACCATTTCCAAAAAGCGCGCCACGACCTGAAAGACCTCTTTTATAAGATCGGTTAAAGGCAGCGCCCGCGTTCATTTGATGTTCCTACGCCCTCCTTAGATATCGTAGCTTTGTCGACAAGGGTGGAGGATGTACTAATTTCGCAGCTCAAAAATACGAGAGGATGGCGCCACCCGCTTGTGAAGAGGATGCCGCCCCGCCCACCTGGCTGCCATAACTGCTTTGGCTTAGCCTTTAAAGGCTGAGCCCGCTTTCAAGAATAATGAGTTATGGAGCTCATATAATACGTGATCCAAAAGAAAAAGTGAAAAAAGCAGAAAAAAATCATGGAAAATGCCCTATGTAGAACTCCATGCTGGCCAGGTGGGCGGGGCGGCCGACCTGCGCTATCCTCTCGCCTTTTTGAGATGCAAAACTAGTACATACTGCATCCTCATAGGGAGGGCTATGATATCCAGAGAGAGCGCAGGAACATCAAATGAACGTGGGCGCTGCCTTCAAGTCATGGAAATCTCTGCGAGAAGAACGATTTCTTTGTGGTGCATGACCTCAGGGACGACTGTTTCGATTCCTCTTCAGCATGATTCAACGAAGCGTTTTTTTTGCAGGCATCTTCGAGCGAACTCCAGCTCATCTACTTCACGAAGTAATCCTCTATGAAGATGCCAGCGAAGAAGAGCACAAACTCTCTGACTACCTCAAGAAGTTTGCCCTGACGAGTGGCTGGAATGATAAAATCAGAATAGAAAGGAGCGAAGAGCGTCAAGGTCTCATTAGAGCTAAGGTAACGTTTGACAACACCATTCTCAACTTTCACCCACACTGACTGTGCTCAGACTTTAGACCCTGGCGTCACGGCTCGCCACCAGTGAGGTTATCGTCTTTATGGACAGCCATTGTGAAGTCACAGAACGTTGGCTAGAACCACTGCTGGATGCGATTGCGGAGAACCCGAAAAGGTGTGTTCATATAAGAAGATTACGGACCTGCTTAGCATTTGGATGGGATATTAAAACCTCTGTGCACCTCCCACACATGCATCAAGTTTTAAGACAAGCTCCCCGTTGGCAGAATGGGCGGAGACAGTCAAAATGCGTTTTGCAATAGAGCGCCTCTCCACTTTATAGAACGATGGACGCAGCAATCGGAGTAGAACAATGATAGACTGTCGCCGCCCACAAGTTCACTGTGGGTAATGATTTAGAAAGAATGAGAGCGTAACGATCTCTTACTATTAGACACATCTCGTAGACACAGAGTCGAGACTGCCGGCGGATTGAACTCCGCCCTACCTGGTAGGGTCCAATAACGTCCAATAGTGGTTGCCAGGATTCATAGTTCGCGATCGCTCATATTCCAAAGTACAAAATCAATACATATCCTATTGTTGGCGACTGCGCGACTGCCACTATCGCTGACTATGAACGCGTCAACCGAATAGCTCCAAAACCAACTGATCAACTTCCCTTCAGTCGCTTCCCGTGACTCGATCTGACCCATCGCTCTACACAGAGAATCCACATATCTCGGAACTTGATTTAACTCCGTTCTTTCAAAGTAAGTGAGTCTTGTTCAGCGTAGTGTTACCAGTTGTCGATCGTATTCATCCGTTGACGTTCGAATACACGAAAGCGATGATCTCAAAGAGTGGTTTCGATTGGTCGCTGACCTTTCAAATGGCTCTACATACCATGGGAATACTTCGACATCAAAGAGAACAACGTGAAACCGATCGAGTGAGTTTAAGGCCACCTTTGCTACTTACAGTTTTTTATGTTGAGGCTTTGGGCGGAGTCAATCCCGCCTTACCCTGTGGTGCGCTCTGAGAGAGTGAAGAGGAAAGGCGCACTAATGGGTAAAGCATAATGGTTGACTGTCTCTGCCCATACAAAGCATGGACTGTGTCTTTAAGGTCGCCATCGATGTCTGGAGGACTGCTAGCTGTTCGTCGAGAGTACTTCCGTTCGTTGGGTGAATATGATATGGGCATGGAAATATGGGGCGGCGAGAATGTTGACCTCGCTCTCAAGGTAAGCTCGTACTCACTACTTCTGGGTAGCAGACACCAGCGCGGACGAGATCCGAGTCGCGTCGACGCGCAAAAAGTGCCGATGCGATTTTTCCTAGCTGACAAATCAATTAGGTCCTGCTGCGAACAACGCCACCTGCAGTAACACTTTCGCGGCGCCGCCGCAACTCGGATCTCTTGGCACACCCGAGACAACATCCATCATTTAGACGTGGATGTGCGGTGGTCGTGTGGTGGTGGCGCCATGCAGTCATATTGGGCACGTTTTCCGAATGATGCGGCCTTACAAGGGCAAAGACAACACGGATCTCTACAATTCACTTCGTGTAGCAAAGACATGGCTTGGGAAGTATGAGGTTAGTGGAAAACGACGAGATCCTTGATCGAATGACACTACCTTATTTTGAGAAATACTTCATGAAAGCACGACCATCGGCAGCAAAGATGGATTTCGGAGACGTAAGCGCTGGTCTAGAACTGAAGAAACGGCTCAATTGCAAGGATATGGACTGGTATTTGGAAAATGTGTACCCAGACTTGAAAGTTGTCAGCAGACCAGAAGGAACGTGAAGAATTATGAGACCATGGACCGATGTGATCTGAATGCTACCTCATATAGAGTAGTTTTTTTCGTAGTTTCAAGTGCGCAGGTTCAGCTAAGGTCCGTTAGCTGTTGACGGTTAGGATATTACCCATCATATAACACGTCAGTGACGGAGAAATCTGTATTAATAATTGTCAAGTGACGTCATTAACGTGCTATGTGACATCAGGGATACGTCATCTATTTCCTAACAGGTAAATGGAGTACTTATGCGACACCTGCGTATTTTTCATAATTTAATACTTGTATCTTGT